CGAAAATTCGTCATACGTTTTTGGGTTTCAATTTTTTGCCTTGAACCAACATTAATTTGATATTTGGAAATTATGTAAAAGCCCAGTGTCCAGCCCAGTTCCTAATGGTTGCTTGAGAAAATCGTTTGATTTTCTTTAATTAAACACACATATTTATATTCAAAAACAATTATATTTATTTTTTTATACCCTACAACACTATGTGTTGGGGGTATTATAAGTTTGATTGGGCCAAAAATTATGTAACACCACGAAATATTGGTTTCCCACATAGGAAAGTATATATGGATCTTCCTAGCTCGCCGAGCTGAGTCGATCTAGCTATGTATGTCCGTCCGTCCGTCTGTCCGTCTGTCCGTCTGTCCGTCTGTCCATGTTAATTTGTAATCACTCTACAGGTCGCAATTATGGCCCGATCTTCACGAAATTTAGTATGGAGGTGGGGTTAATGTCAGAATAGAACCCTATTTCTTTTGGAGATGATCGCCAAATGTTTAGGGGTTGAAATGGACCAAATACTGAAAAAATTTCGGATTTTGCAGTAGCTATACAGGTCGCATTTATAGACCAATCGACGCGGAATTTCGCATGTAGCTAGAGTTTAGGACGGGGAAGAAGCCTGCCAATTTGGGTGGTCATCGGATTATATTTAGCGGGTAAAATAGACCATATCTTTTGTGTTGAAAAAAATCTAAATTTTTCATTAAACCGTGAATATTTTAAATCCCGGCGAAATCACAAAGCCATCACAAGGTTACTTCTGACCTTTACTTTGATGTTAACATCCAACAAACCGGATATATAGCAAAATAGGTGCGATATATATGTCTATCAAAGAAGATATGCTTGAAAGATCTCTTATAAGTCGAGAACGGCTGAACTGATTTCGACAGTTCTCATTAATTTAGAATGGCCTCTTGGCAGGAAAGAAAAAACGTCTTAAAAATCGCATAAAAATATCTCTATAAAGATGAAAATATTGATTTTGTAAAATTTTCTCATATTTTTTCAATTTTGTCATATTTTTGGCATATTTTCATTTTGAATTAAACATTTAGTAAAATTTCTACAGCTAACAAAACTAAGTAGTTAGGATATCAGTATATCATATACAGATCGCATTTATGGCCCGATCCTTACGAAATTTTGCATGGGGATAAGATGAGGGTCAGAATAGAAGCCTACTCTTTTTGGAGATGATCGCCATATATTTAGGGGTTGAAATGGACCAAAAAAATGCAACATTGTCAGCAGGTCGTAATTATCGCCCGATCCTCGCGCACATTTGAATGGGGGTTACGGGCATTGCAAAAAGCCAAGCAGTTTTGGATGGCCATCCAAAAATATTCAATGTGTGAAATAGTTTGCCAACTTTTGTAGACAAAATACGAAAATCTCCATTCCAGTGACTCTATGGAGAATTCACAAATACAGGAAAGACGCACTTCTGACTATTTCGTTAACGCTGAGTTCGTGGAAGAATATAGTCAAATGTCTGTATCTCATATAGATGCGTTTCAGTCAAAAGCCAATAATAAATGTTAATCTTTTGCCACTTCTGAGAGACAATGGGTCTTTGGGAAATATTGGTTCCATATCTAGGAAGACCACTTACGTGCAACATTTACCAATAAATTTGAAATGAGCAAATTAGTTAAAGTTGCTATTATTCGAAAATTAGAGAACGAAACCTGATGGTTTTCTTTTATTATTTGTTACAATATCTTGTGTAATTCTTTCGAGTATCTCGCCTATATGAACTGTATCGTTTATTATGGTGTTGTAGGGTATTCAACGGTCGGCCCCGCTCGACTGTAGCCTTTGCTTACTTGTTTTGGCATATTTTCATTTTGAATTAAACATTTGGTAATATTTCTACAGCTAACAAAACTAAGTAGTTAGGATATCAGGATATCATATACAGATCGCATTTATGGCCCGATCCTTACGAAATTTTGCATGGGTATAAGATGAGGGTCAGATTAGAAGCCTACTCTTTTTGGAGATGATCGCAATATATTTAGGGGTTGAAATGGACCAAAAAATTGCAAAATTGTCAGCAGGTCGTAATTATCGCCCGATCCTCACGCACATTTGAATGGGGGTTACCGGACATTGCAAAAGCCAAGCAGTTTTGGATGGCCATCCAAAAATGTTCAATGTGCGAAATAGTTTGCCATCTTTTGTAGACAAAATACGAAAATGTCCATTCCTGTGACTTTTTGGAGAATTCGCAAATACAGGAAAGACGCACTTCTGACTATTTCGTTGAAGAATATAGTCAAACGACTGTATCTCATATAGAGGCGTTTCAGTCAAAATCCAATAATAAATGTTAATATTTTGCCACTTCTGAGAGATTATAGGTCTTTGGGAAAGGAAGATCTAGGAAGACCATTTACGTGCAACATCTACCAATAAATTGGAAATGAGCAAATTCGTTTAAGTTGCTATTGTTCGAAAATTAGAGAACGAAACCTGATGGTTTTCTTTAATTATTTGTCACAATTTCTTGTGGAATTCTGTCGAGTATTTCGCCTATGTAAACTGTATGGTTTATTATAGTGTTGTAGGGTATTCAACAGTCGGCCCCGCTCGACTGTAGCCTTTGCTTACTTGTTCTGTCATATTTTTATCGTATTTTTTATCGCATGCGATTTTTTCAATTGACTTACAGTTTAAATTGTATTTTTTTTAATTTATAACCCTGCAATACTATGTTTTTAGCGTATTATGCATGCATGTGGCAATTATCGTCCGATCCTCACGAAATTTTACATGGGGTTAGAATTAAAGCCTATTGTTCTCAAGATTTACATTTAAGGGTTCAAATGGACTAAAAAAATTATATTTTTCTAATTTTGTAGTCGCCCTATAGACAACAATTGAAAACTAATCTACACGGAATTTCGCATATTTTCAAAAACGAAATCTTCCAAAATGTTTTTGGACATAAGGGGATTTCGAACAAATTGTAATGTAGTAGGGTCTCACAAGGTCGGCCCCACACGGCTATAGGTTTTGCTTACTTGTTTAAGAATTATATCCATATCTATAAAAGAGGAAATTTTTGTATGTTTGTTTGTTTGTAATTTATGGAATCGAAAACCGGTGAATAGATTTTCCTGAAAATTTCCATATATACTGCAACATCGCCTGAAAGTAACGTAGGCTATATACATTTTTGAATTTCCACTTGGTACTGGAGATATAGCATCAGAATCGGAGGTACCTCCCAAAAATTTAGATTTTATATGCACTTATCTATTGATTGGTTGAAGAAACAGTCTCCAAATTTGGAATACGTAACGGAATTCAGAACAAAAATAAGTTTGAAAAATTATATTGTAATCAGTTCAGATTTGGATATATATTTTCGGCCGATTTCGTTCATTTGATGCCTCAAACACAATATGAATGTTTGATTCCAATGAAATTTGGAATATGTGACGGGATTTGATCCGAAAATAAATTTGTCAAATTATATTGAAATCGGTTCAGATTTGGGTATAGCTCCCACACACATTTTCGGCCGATTTCATGTATTTGGTGAACCAAACACGATATGTATTTCCAATTGTAATGAAATTTAAAATAAATAACGGAATTGGGAGCCAAAATTAATTTGTCAAATTAAATTGAAATCGGTTCAGATTTGGATATAGCTCCCATATATATTTTCGACCGATTTCATGTATTTGATGCACCAAACACGATATGTATGTTCGATTCTAAAGAAATTTGGAATATGTAACGGGATTTTGATTAGAAAATAAATTAGTCAAATTATATTAAAATCGGTTCAGATTTGATTATAGCTCCCATATATATACTTAGCCGTTTTCACATATTTGATGCACCCAAAGCGAGAGATACAAAATCTAGCACCAGAAAAAAATTGCCAAATTATATTGGAATCAGTTGAGGTTTGGGTATAGCTAACATATATATTTCGGCCGATTTCATACATGTTATGCACCAAACATGATATATATCACCGATACCAAAGAAATTCAGAATGTGTGGCGGAATTTGGTTAAAATAATAAATGTGGCAAATTAATTGAAAATTAGTTAAGATTTGGATATAGCTCCCATATATATATTCTCGGCCGATTTCACATATTTGACGCACCAATTTCAATGAAATATGAAAGGTGTGGCGGAATTTGGTGTAAAAGTATTTTTTTTTTAAATTATATTTTAATTGGATCAGATTGGGATATGATTTTAATAAGAACCATTGACCCACAACGCCTTAGGCTAACACTAAAATACAACACAACAATTGATTTGAAATACGCTTATTACGGCGAAGTATGTTGCTATCTCGAATTCATTAATTGCAATAGAAATGCCACTTAACTTCAAAAGATTGCAGTTTACTGCACGCTTGGTATTTGCTATGAAATAAATAAATCCGAAGGACAAACCCTTCGTGTATGTATGTCATGTTACTGCTTTTCTAATGGTTTTGGTTATTTACGCATTAAAGTAGAGTTTTTTTTTTAACCAACATATATTCGTAAATAAAATTTTGAATGCATATAAAATCAAAAGGGGTAGCGAAGCGCACCGGGTTCAGCTAGTATCTCATAAAATGCGAAATAGGCGTCAGATTCTTTTTAAATTTAGATATAGCTCCCATATATATCTCTAACCGATTTCGGATTAATTGTGCACTAAATGGCCAATATCAGTCCAAATGACCTAGATTTTGTCACATCCGACCGAATTCAGTCTAGAAGGAAGTACATCAAATTTGTGTTTATTATTTAAATATTTTTTAATATAATCCTTGTCGAAGTTATACCATGAATTATTCAGCAATGTTATTTTTTGGTATGACCTACTTCACATAAATTCCTGATATATATATTTTTTTGTTACGGGAGTTCTACAAAATACGCAGCAGTGGCTTCTCCTTCCTTGGATTTTGTTTGTAAACATTTGAGTTTTGGAAACAACTCGTATGTAATTTTGTTCGATAATGGTATATATTTTAATGTTGTTCAAAATTTAAAGCTTTATTTAATACCATCTGTTCACATTATAGGCTTCACCAATTGAACACAAATTTGGATACTGGGGGTTTCGGCCAGTAATGCACGATGTGCCGGATGAATTACAGTTGGCATAAATGGGAAAATCAATCATATTGGTGGTGGCATAGTTGCAGGCGATTAAGAATATTTTATAGGAAACTCCCAATTTGGAATATTTTGCAGCAGCACAGCCAACGCGGATATTGCGATCAGCCATCATTACGGTGAAGTGGCCAATTGTTCTGTAATTGAATAAATGAATCTTTTTTTTTACTATTTTACATTTTTCCCTAGCACCACTTTACTCACTTCCCCTTGTAATTTTCCGGATATTTACGAATAAATTCCATATTACTGTTCTGCACTTCATCATACCACACGTCTAGAGCTCTTTGAAACATTCTTGTTTCATTTGGATTTCCATAATAACCAATGGTTATTAAATTCTGTCCAGAATATAGAAACTCATTTGTGTTACGACATTGATCATGTTGCATCAAACACTGACGAACATTCAGTTCGGCCAATGATGCCAATTCGGGATGCCATTGCATTGTTGCCATGCGGCAAGCTGGCAGATGTTTAGCATCACCTCCTCCGGCAATAAAATTTCGTTTCTCATTGTGCCCGCGTACAATAAAATCCCGAATGGATGGATTAAGGGGGACAATTGTAGCATCTGCGGGACAATTACTGGAAAATGTCTGAGGAAATTGAAATTGGTAATAATGATATCGAACGTGATATTTTTTCGTTTTTTTAATTACCCCATTATTTCCACAGGCAATGTGCTTAAGTGCTTTACGACACAGAAACGGAGAGCAGTAGTCCGTGGCTCCGGTTATTATGATAAATGCTGTAAAAACCAGCAACTTCACAAGAATTTTCATTTTATTTATATCGCATAGACTTCCGATTCTTAAATAAAATGTATATTTTTGTTAAATTTATCTTTGACGAAATTCACAGCGGAACGTTCAGATTTTAACTGAATTTTATTATGTTATCAGAAAACAATGGTTAGTCATTGTTCATTCGGCTGTGTTATCTAGACACCTTGCTCTAAAAATATCTCTTGATAATAGGGAGGCTCGAAGACTTTTTCCTTTTTACCAGTGCCTGACTTGATACACAAGCAAAAAATAAAATAGGTCAGTTTTTTTCTATGTTACAGCTATGAGAGTAGGGTTATATAAGGTCATAAAAATGACACATTATTTTAGATTTAAAGAACTTCTATTACCGATTCTATACCGACATAAGTCCTATTTAAATAATATGAGGGTAATGCATATGGGAGATATATCCTAATCAGTACCGATTTCTATAAAACTTGCAAAAGGTATTTATACCCTACAACACTATGTGTTGGGGGTATTATAAGTCGCAATTATGGTCCGATCTTCACGAAATTGAGAATGGAGGTGGGGCTAGGGTCAGAATAGAACCCTATTTCTTTTGGTTGAAATGGACCAAAAACTGAAAAAATTCCTGATTTTGCAGTTGCTCTACAGGTCGCAATTATGGACCAATCAAAGCGGAAGTAAGCATAGGGCTGGGAAGAAGCCTTCCAATTTTGAAGAAGAAACCTTCCAACATTTGTTTTAAAAAAGTAAAAATTTCCATTAAACCGCAAATATTTTTAATCCCTGGCGAAATCACAAATAGACGAACGGGTCAATTCTGACCGTAACATAGATGCCCATAGTAAATATATCGGTTATATAGCGAAATATATACAATGTGTATATACAAAGTAAGGGGATGTTAGTTAGAATGCTTATATCTCAAGAATGGCTGGACCGATTTTGACAAATTTTGTCAATTCAGAATGCCCTCTTGGCATAAAAGTATAAAATCTAAAAAAATCGCAGAAAAATATGCCAATAAAGATGTTAATATAGATTTTGTAGTATTTTGTGACATTTTTTTTATTTTTTTTTTATATTTATTATCGCATGCGATTTTTTCAATTTGACTTATAATATTTTGTAATATTTTTTCACCTTACAACACAGGTTGTGATACTATATGCAAATATCGTCCGATCCTCACGAAAATTTTCACAAGGGAAGGGTTGGGCTTAGAAGGGCCAGGCCTATTGTTTTCAAAGATCTCCGCAATATATTAGGGGTTGGAATGGCCCAACAACTAAAAATTGTCCTGATTTTGCAGCCGTTATAAAGGTCACAAATATAAACCGAAGGACACGAAATCTCGCATAAAGTTAGAGTTTAGGACAGCGGGTACAATGGACCACTAATTTTGTGTAAACAAATACCAGCATTACATACAAGCGATATCCTAAATTCACAAAAGGCGAACTTCTGGTTTTTTATGCTGATTTCGTTGACGAATATAGCCAAATATCGTAGACAAGCAAATCATATAGATGAGTCTAAATTTGGAGGTACGGAGGGGCTTCTTGCTTTTGGAGGTGATTGCAAAATACTTAGGGGTTAAAATTAACCAAGAACAGAAATATTTTTCCCATCACACAATTGAAGCCAATCGACACGCCTGTGAAGAGAGTTAAGGACAGGGAAGAATTCTAGCGTTTTAGATGACCTTTGGATTAGATTTAGCTGTAAAATAAACTACAACCTCTAACAGCCCGACGGAGTGCAGAAATATTGGGCAAATGTCCCTAGTCAAAATCCTAATTTCAAAAGCGAAATCTTCCAATATGGATTTGGACATAAGGGGGCTTCTAACATATTGTAGTGTTGTAGGGTATAACATAGTCGGCCCCGCACGACTATAGCTTTTGCTTACTTGTTTTGAAAGTAATTTTGGTACTAAAATCAAGCAAGTGCTTCGATGGGAATGGGGCAAAATATCGCAGAGCAACATTCGGGCAGCATGTGACGGTTTCATTGGCCGTTTGAAGGTCATAATTCGCGCCAAAGTTGACCAATTCGTACAAATTTAAACTTCTTCTAAAATTTGATGAAATTTTTTGCTTTCATTCAATAACATTTAAAAAAGAATGTAAAAATTAGGGCGTTTGACTTTGTGGCAGTTTTTCATCTCACCCTGTATAATAAAGATATGGGTGACCGAAATTTAACACACTTCATTTTAGGGTTAAATTTGCTAGCCTCTCTCTCAAAATGCATCAAGTTGGGCAAAAATTACGCATTTCGCGAGATTCTATGGAGACTCTTTGGAGTCACAATTGCAAAATAAATGTGACCTGAATTTGATTTACAAAAATACATGGACAAACTAAACTGCATAAGTCGATTCAGAATGAGATTCTATGGAGATGATTTGAAGGAACTATGGGCCCATCTCGTCTCCTTTTGCCTGATACAAACAAATGTACGAAGACACAATACCCTGTACCACAGTGTGGTGTCGGGTATAAAAATGTCAAATGTTAACATCTGTCTGTCAAAAATTAAACAAAAACTCATAATTTAAGGGTTCTGCAAAATCACAAATTTAAATACTTCAAAACCCTCCCATGTATGATAAGGTTGTGGATATCAACATTTCAGTAGTTCGGCTATCTATATCTATAAAAGAGGAAAATGTTTGTATGTTTGTTTGTTTGTTTGTTTGTTTGTAATTTATGGACTCGAAAACCGCTGAATAGATTTTCCTGAAAATTTCCATATATACTGCAACATCGCCTGAAAGTAACATAGGCTATATACATTTTTGAATTTCCGCTTGGAACTGGAGATATAGCACCAGAATCGGAGGTACCTCCCAAAAATTTAGAATTAATATGCACATATCTATTGATTGGTTGAAGACACAGTCTCCAAATTTGGAATACGTAACGGAATTTGGAACAAAAATAAGTTTGCCAAATTATATTGTAATCGGTTCAGATTTGGATATAGCTCCCATATATATTTTCGGCCGATTTCAAGCATTTGATGCACCAGACACGCTATGTATCCCCAATTTCAATGAAATTTGAAACGTGTGATAGATTTTATCTAAAAAATTGATTTCACAAATTATATTGAAATCGGTTCAGATTTGGATATAGCTCCCATATACATTTTCGGCCGATTTCATGTATTTGGTGGACCAAACACGATATGTATTTCCAATTGTAATGAAATTTAAAATAAGTAACGGAATTGGGAGCCAAAATGAATTTGTCAAATTAAATTGAAATCGGTTCAGATTTGGATGGATATATGGGAGCTATATATATTTTCGACCGATTTCATGTATTTGATGCACCAAACACGCTATGTATCTCTAATTTCAATGAAATTTTGAATGTGTAGCGGAAATTAAAACAAATATACATTTGTCAAATTATATTAAAATCGGTTCAGATTTGGATGTAGCTCTAATATATATTTTCGACCGATTTCATGTATTTTATGCACCATACACGATATGTATGTTCGATTCCAAAGAAATTTGGAACATGTAACGGGATTTTGATTAGAAAATAAATTAGTCAAATTATATTAAAATCGGTTCAGATTTGGATATAGCTCCCACATATATTTTCCGCCGATTTCACATATTTGATGCACAAAACACGATACGTATTTCCGATTCCAATGAAATTCGGCATGAGTGGCTAAATTTGGTACAAAAATAAATTTGACAAATTATATTCAAATACGCTCAGATTTGATTATAGCTCCCATATATATACTCAGCCGATTTCACATATTTGATGTACCCAAAGCGAGAGAGACAAAATCTGGCACCAGAAAAAATTGCCAAATTATATTGAAATCAGTTGAGGTTTGGATATAGCTAACATATATATTTCGGCCGATTTCATACATGTTATGCACCACACATGATATATATGACCGATACCAATGAAATTCAGAATGTGTGGCGGAATTTGGTTACAATAATAAATGTGACAAATTAATTGGAAATTAGTTAAGATTTGGATATAGCTCCCATATATATATTCTCGGCCGATTTCACATATTTGACGCATCAACTTCAATGAAATGTGAAAGGTGTGGCGGGATTTGGTGTAAAAGTAATTTTTTTAAAATTATATTTAAACCGGATCAGATTGGGATATGATTTTAATAAGAACCATTGACCCACAACGCCTTAGGCTAACACTAAAAAACAACACAACAATTAATTTGAAATACGCTTATTACGGCGAAGTATGTTGCTATCTCGAATTCACTAATTGCAATAGAAATGCCACTCAACTTCAAAAGATTGCAGTTTACTGCACGCTTGGTATTTGCTATGAAATAAATAAATCCGAAGGACAAACCCTTCGTGTATGTATGTCATGTAACTGCTTTTCTAATGGTTTTGGTTATTTACGCATTAAAGTAGAGCAATATATTTTTTAAATTTTTAAATTTGTTTTTTTTTTAAACCAACATATATTCGTAAATACAATTTTGAATGCATATAAAATCAAAAGGGGTAGCGAAGCGCACCGGGTTCAGCTAGTATATAATATACAATGAAAGAATTGTGAACCTTCCGTTCTACTGTCCTGTTTGTTATTTGAAAAAAAAAGTTAAAAAACCCTCCTTTTTTATGTGGAGGGTATAAAAATTAAGTTGAATTGATCCTCTGAAGTCGTGTCGGCTTGTATATGTTTTTTCTTTTCACATTTTCCTCAATACTCCCTATGATACACGGTCAATATTATTATTTTTTGTTGCCAGATTCAAAACAGCATCGTTATCTTTTGTGCGGAATTACGTATTTAACAACATCTGCATTTGTTTATTAAAAATGCTACCATAGGAGTCAAATATTATTATACCCTCCGCCATATGCTTACAGTGGCCAAAGGCCAAATAGGCCAAAAGTTGCCTCATGGAAATATAGATTTTAGACCCAAGGTCCCTTTGGCCCAAATCCGTTTAGGTATATTTGAAGTGCACGACAACTCTCGAAGAGAGTATTCGCTTTTGATCCAAACTTGATACATCGCAATATTTTTGTCAAATTT